CTTTATTTTTTACGTTATCAACCTTTCTTTGTTTTTTTCTACAAGTCTGTTAGTTAATAAAAAAATATAATATGAATCTGAGAATTCATTCAGGGAGGAAAACAATGATAAAACTTCCAAAAAGTCGAAATTGCCCAACAATGAGAGGAGTCAAAAGCGGAAGAAGGTAGCATATTTTGCTTGCTCTTTTCCTTTTTCTATGATCATTTCATGATATAATCTCATCCTCTCAACACATGTCTACTCAGGAGTCAAAGATGTTTATTAATATACCCAGGGAGGAAAACCAGGATAACTCTTCCGAAGAGTCGAAGAGGTTTATTTCTTTTTTATTTTTCCTTCCTTCCTGTTTCCTCAAGCTAATATGAACTCAGCCGACCTCCAATATAATTTGCATGTGGTATTGATGTTTACCACATAATTTAATTTGATGTATTGCAGAAGACAGCCTATACCCACTGAGCGAGAGAGACAATATATGAAATATCTTAAGGGAAAGGAGATAGCAGAGTCTGCATTATGCGAATACAACAACAGACACGTCTTTCTTCTGTCCTCATCAATATAATTTGCTTTCTCTCGTTTCATTTATAATTTATTGAACTACTCTATTATAATCATGAATCCCTAGGGAACCGACTTGGAGCTTGTGAGGTTTTTGGAGGCCAATCATATGCATATGTTTGGCCCTGGTTGTCGTCTTGACTTTGCCGATGGTCCTGCTCGTTGGAGACATTTGAATATTGAGGCCAGGCGGCGCAGTGTGGATACAGATGATGAAAACTCACTTTTTTTGTTTGTTGAATCAATTTGCTCTCCAACAAATACATATGATCTTTTAACACTGCTGCTTGTTGCGCCTACAGATAAGTGTAATGCCACTATATGACTTTGTGTTGCTGAGTCAATTTTTTTATTCATATCTGTTATGGCATGTGTGTGCCTATATATGCATTCATCGATTACAACTATATGTGAGAGATGCATTGGTTCCACTATCTTGTGATTTATTGGTTTTCTTTTATGTTTCTTTAGTAGTACGAAATGATGATACAATAACTTCGACAATTTTGAAGAAGTTTATACATGCTGGAGTATTGCAACTTCGGTTTAGTTTACTGTTCAGTATTTTGCTGCCCTGATATGTATTATTGATAATAAAAGCGTTTCACTGATTCTGTCGAGTTTCTTTGAGGTGAAAGAACAGAATCTGCTATAAATTTTATGTAGAATCTTGTTATCAATATTATAACCATTCGAATGTGGAATTTCTTTAGTATTGTTTGCTGTCTGTTGATAATTATTGATTTATCATCCTGAATGTAATTTGAACTCAATTGTTTCTGGTGCAGTTAATGGTTGTCAGAGTTGCTGGTCTTGCATAAGCCATCCTCGTTATGGATTTCGTGCTGGTTTTACTAAAAATCCTCCTAGGCGGTCGCTTAGATGCCAGCCGACCGCCTCTAATTTCCATGAATCGGCTGAAAAAATAAGGTATTTAATATTAATTTCTAGGCGCTGGTCGGGCGCCTATTGACTTCCAGAACGCTGGTTTGGTTTTTATGCATTGTAATTTTCTTTTTCCATCTGTCCTCGATTTGTGTATTCTTGTGGTGATAGATAAATTAATAAATCAAACCAAAGCTAATGTGTGCATATATTTCATGATGCAGTAGTGTGGCCAGTGATCCAAAGCTATTGTCTGAAGATGATGCTGTCAAATTGTCACAACTTGCATTGAAGGACTACAATGAGAACCATGTGAGTGTTCTCTTCTAAAATTTGTATTTTTTCCTTCCAGTTGCCTCCAGTCATTTATACTCCCCCGTTCTATTTCATGTTAAAAAAAAAAAAAAACCAGGGAACAAACTTGAAGTTTGTAAGGGCTTTCAAATGCAACAGTTTTACTTGTGCTGGTCGTTTAATGGACTTTACCGAGAAAAGTACACGTTGGGTGCATGTGAACTTTGAGGCAATGGTGGGTGTGGGTAGCTGGGAAAGTATACGCCTTATGTTTGCCGAACTCTATTTAGGGAATGATGACAAATACGTGCTTGCTACATTGTTGCCTGCGGAGCCTGAGGATCGGGAGGATCGGGAGGATCCGGAGGAGACTAAGTGGCGAGATGGTTACCCAGGTTAGATTATGATATATGTCTATTCACATCATCTTTCCCAATACATAGAATTGATAAATGCTAGTGGATCTCTTTATGCTTTATACAGTCTACGTTGTGTAGTATTATTATTTTTATTATTATTGTTCCGCATGTGTCACTAATAAATACATATTGTTGTTTTTCATTACAGCGAGTGAATGCGCCATCTGCCCGGACGAGATCTGTCATCCGTGGCGTGGTTATCGTTATTGTTTCAGTATTCCACCCCGTAGGTTGGCGTGTCCCATGCCTTAATGTGAGTCATCCATAATGACTGCTCTCGTTATTTTGTTACCTTTTGTGTTTAAGTGGTGCTTATGCCTCAACAAACTTGGAAAACTATCGGTTGAGACCTTTATTCCCCATCATTTATAGGAAGTTGGAAGGGTTAGTTTTCAATGTGATTTTTGCCACCATTTCTCTTGGAAATCTTAATAAACTTATCTCTGCATTTAAGATGGTGAGGGTAAAGATTTGTCTGGTACATATTCCAACATGGTGAGGGTGAAACTTTGGTTTGGCTAAAAAACGAAATTAGTTTGATCTTGAGAGAGAAGGTCGAGGGACTTGGCTAAAAAAGAAATTAGTTTGATTTTGAGAATGAAGGTCGAGGGACGTTTTGTAGATGAGCTTAGGCTTCTTTTGTTGGCCAAGATAAAGATTAGGCCATTAAGTTGGGTTAATCTTACATTTGTAAACTATGATGTTGGCCCGCCAGATTATGATCGGCCCGAGATAAAAATGGAATCAATCTTGTATATCCAATATAAAACAATCTTGGTGTAAAGTCGAAATGAATTTATCTAGACTGCACCAAAATAAGTAAATGTCGGTTTCTCCTTGAACAAAATTCAATATCATCATCTTTCATTTCTCTGCTTCCATTCGATACCAACCATTCCCATTCACCGGCCAACGAACAAACAACCACCATAGTTCCAATCTAGTGCCTTCTTCTCCCTACCTCTGCTCCAAAATCTGTCGCCATTCGCCGGCCATAGAGCCAGCGGCCTCCGTCCCTCGCCTCCATCCGTCGGCCGATGAGGAAAAGGGCCACCAAAATTGAGTGGAATGGGTTTCGGGCCACCAAAATTGAGTGGAATGGGTTTCAATCGAGCTGTCATTTTTTCAACCCGTTCAATTCGAGTTGTCCTTTTCTGTGCCCTGAGATTTTTCTTTAATTATATCCCCATTTCTTATTTTATAAAAATTTGATACAGTGCACTTGAAATTTTTGCGAATTGTGTCCTTTATTTATAAGTTTCCATTCAGTTTAGTGTGCGGCAATTAATTTTCCTTTTTGATCTAGAAAAATATCGTAATTTAGAGCTAACCTGTTTCTGAAACAGAATGCGGTGGGTTTTTTTTTGTTTTAAAAGTTAATTCATTTTTCAGCTGTCAGATTTGCTTTGTTAATCATGGTGGAGAACGTTCGATTTCGAATGGCGTTCTTGATCTTTTTGGTATTATCTTTTTCCCTCCAAATTATTNCTCGGAATTTAGCATTCACTTTAAAGATTTTGAGGAAGATTAATTATGTTGTAGTTCTAGTTTCAGATATTTGATTATTTTTATAATGATTCATGTACAATGATGTTCCATTGACATGTGAGACTCATTCACAATGTGATTTTTTGAGATGCGAATATTTTGTGTAGTTACCTCGGTTCGATTTGCAAACGCAAACTTATTAGGAAAAAAATGGTCATTGGCAAATTGGACAAAGATTAAGGGACAAATTGTTAAATTTAGATTTTAACTCAATTGTTATCATGGCAAACAAACATATGTATTAACTTTTACTCCAATCATATCCTACGTGTAGTCATTGCCAACAAACATAAATTCATTTCAATCTTCACAGTGTAATCTCATCACCAATTAAAAAAAAAATAAAAAAATCATATCCTATCATGAAAAACAAATGAGCCATTAGACAATTACAACTTGAATTTCGGTTGGAGCCTAGAAACTAACCAAACAAACTAATGAAATGAATTATGTCAAATAGATGACTTAGAAAAAAAATAAGGTTGATAAGATCAATCCCAATAACAAAGCGCAACCAAACGCACCCTTATGTATTTACACACAATGCCATATAAACAATATACTATAATCAAACCGGTCTCAAAAAATTTGGAGGCCCCATGCATTTTTTGCAAAAAATTAATTAGCAAAAATGATTTTTTTTCTTTTTAATCTATAAGTCAAGATCCTTTTTTATTTAATTCAAAAGTTTAATTTGAAAAGAACATTTTGGCTTTACCATCTGCAGATAGAATTATAGAAGAAAAAAAAATCTAATGTGGACGATCAGAATCGGTCAACGGTTAAAACGATTTATGTAGAGTTAAAACGAGTAATGAAGCAGAAAATTACAGAATAAATAGGTTTTATTATCTAATCACGAGGTCGGCCTCTTATATCGAGGTCGACACTTTTGTTATACTTGGAGTAATTACGAGAATTTATTACATGACTGGGAGGATTAAATGTAGAGAGAGAAATAGTTGGTGTGAAGAATAACAACCCTTCATAAATGAGGGTTGAATGTTATTTATAGTAGTCCTGAACCAGTATTGTTCACTCTGTCCCGTCGTACAGTAGTCTGGGATGACAAGTCGGCGCCGCTCTGACAGACATTAAATGAGATTTAAGGTTTTCTCAATGATTACCTGTCAGGCATTAAATGCTCCACATGTGTGCATTTAATGCTGACAGACCGCCCTACTGGCCTAGATGCCCTTGGGTGTCTGACTAGGATATTGTGTCCAATCGTCAATCATCACTTGACAAGTAGCTATATTATATTGTTTCCAGATCCCATACTCGGGCTGAAATCGGTCTTATCGGCTCTTCAGATTGGACCTTCGTTGACATCTCTTCCTCTGACCTTCGTGATCCTCAAATTCTGCTCGACATTCGTGGAGGTCGACCTCGTCCCTCGATCTCCTCGAGTACCGCTCTTAAGGATTACAATGTGCTTTATTCTCGTCAATTTTGTTCTTCAGCTAGCTCGGCTACCCGGCGTAAACCGAAAAACCGACCTAGATTCTGGGGTCGTCTTTGCCCGGTCCCTTATTCAGCGTCATAGGTCTTTAGCGATTCAACTCAGATATCAACACCTAATTCAACAAAATAAAATAAATAAATAATTAGAAAAGAAACAATTTTCACGTTTTTCAATCAAACCTGAAAATTTTGGAACTGATAAATTACCTCTGGGTTTACAGAGATCTTTCATAAATTACATTCAAGCAGTCACAAGGACACCAAGAAGAAGAAAATAAAAAACTATATCACTGATTCTCATACACAACTTGTTTAGGCCAAACATCATAAGAAAACAAATGAAATACTTTAAGAACTCCAATATCATGCACAAAGTCCATATTTAGCCCTTAGTCTCTTCATTAATTAGACCTCTTCATTTGTGTAAATGGGCCAAGCCCAACAAAATGCGTAATAATAAAAAAATGAGGTCCCAAAAAAATGGAGAGCCCTAGGCATGGGCCTTGTTGTATGCCCCAAAAGTCGGCCCTGACTATAATATACAATTTAATACAATAAAACATAGTTCAAGCAAGCAATCACATAGTGCACATCTGTAAGGATTTCGATTCAATGCCTTCGTAAAGATGTCGGCTAACTGGTTATGTGTAGAAATATGGTCACGATACATATCTATGTGCTTGGTGCGGGAGTGCTGAACAGGATTCTTAAGAATATTTATCATGTTGATGTTGTCACAGTAAAAGTTCATGGTTTTTACTTCGAAGCCAAATTCAAATATCATTTGCTTCATCCATACCAATTGCGAGCAACAACTTCCAACAACAATATATTCAGCTTCAGCGGTCGATAGTGATATGCAATTATATTTTTCTCTTGGCCAAGAGATTAAATTATTACCAATGTGAAAACATCCTCCGAATGTACTTTGTTGATCATCGATGTTTCCAGCTCAGTCGTCATCGCAATGGTCTGCAAGAGTAATTAGCCATCATCGCAATGTCCTACAAGAGTAGCATTTGTATCCCTAGTTAATTATATGTTTGACTCGTCCGGTTGCTTCTCATAAACTGGCTCATTTAAGAAACCATTCAAGAAGGCAGATTTAATATTCATTTGATAAAACACATAAAATCATTCAATTAAGTAATAGATATGAATATGCAAAGAGACTCTAATATAGCTAAAGGATCATCATAGTCTATCATTCTCATGAGTGTAGCCCTGTGCAACTAGACTATCTTTATTCCTAGAAATGTTTCTCAACTCATCCGTTTTATTCTTATATATCCACTTAGTTCCTATTACATTACCAGAAGTTGGCCAAGGAACTAATTCTCAAACATCATTTCTCACAAATTACTCAAGCTTGAATTCAATATTCATCTTTTAAAGCATCTTTAATATTTTTAGGTTCGACTGTAGAAATATAGCATGCAACGTGTGAAGCACTAGTCATCATACGTAAGTAAGGTCTAACACCTCTTGTTCTATGTTCATTAATCTCACTTAATAGTTGACTAGTGGGATGATCTTTATAAATTTTAGCAGGGGATCCCGTCTTGATTCAGTCAGATTTCTTGAGGATGTAGGAACATCAGAATCCAAATTTTTTAATTTTTCACCCACATCCTTCGAATAACCGATTTCCAGTTTCACATTTTTCAAGAGATCTTCAAGACTATCAAAAAGTTTATTCCAGTCATCATTAGTAGGTGCAGAGATTTCTGGTGTAAGAACATTAGCATACAAGTCATCAAAAATCACATTAGCAGATTTCATGACCACTTCAGTTCTCATATTATGGACTCTATAAGCCCAACTATCAGTGAAGTAGCCTAAAAATCGACCAACACTTTTGGACTCAAATCTTTAACCAGGGCTTTCATCGATAGCGGGATTCTACCTTTTCAGTGTTAGTTACACCACTATACTCTTCGTTTGTTTAGCTGCCCTGAGCTTCGATGTGCGGAAGTTTACACACCTTGGTCGCAACATCCCCATATTCGAATCATGCCTTTGCTGGTAGAAAGAGGTCAATTACATCTCAATTACATCGCTTACTCATTACGACTTTGTATATTTATGAGAGTATGAGTATCCAAACGGAAAAACTTCGAACGAAGTCGATATAATGTAACACAACAGAAAATTTGAGGCAAAACGAGGAACAAATTCATGATAAATTTGCCCCAAGACGACTGCTTGTAGCTGCTGGTGATCAGCCCAAACCATCAACG